AGCTTGGAAAATCTGAGCTATTACACAAGGTATGAAAGCTCTTAGAGAGCTACTTCATGGGATTACAAAAATACTGACATCAGCGACATACTCAACCATGAAGTAGAGGAGAAAAGCTATTGTATTAGCTGCTATTCCATGAGTCTCCGTTCTTCATGACCAGCTTAAGGGACTCAACTCACCAATTGATAGCACAACAGTACCTCTGACCGGGACATCATAGGGTTCGAGTCCCGACGGTAGCAGAATGATTGACATTAGTTTCGTAGCTACTTCTAATTCAGCTGTTGTCTGGAGGAGAGCTTTTAGCGGCCAGCTGCTCTGATATAATTTTCCGTGATTGCTCCGATGAACGCCAGGCGAATACCGGAGCCTAACAAACGGGCCATGAACTTTCCTTACTTTTCCTTGTCTTATTCTCATCTCTTACTTACACACTCATACACTCACATGCACATGCTCTACCACAGATGCCGGAAATAACAGTCGGAAACTTACAACATGTCTCGACTGGGGCGGTGCCGCGCTGGTGGAAAAACCTGGTTGGGAAAAACTCCGCAAGCCAACGAGTAGGTCGGTGCCGGATCTCGCCATCCAGCGGAGGAAGATTTCATTCACTTCGCGCAATAAAAGCACGCATCGCATTACGGGACTAATGATCTTAGTTGTTGATGCGCCCGGATTCACCAAACAACAGTTCTTTATGATACAGAACGTGGTGTAACGAAAAATATGGAGCGCTGCGTGTGATATTGAAATGAACCAATAGTTTTGGAAACACATTTTTCAGACACAATCAAATTATTTACTACTTTTAGACAAATACTTATTTAAAAACGGGTTTAAAATACACTTTTTATGTATTGGTATATGCCTATTTTATTCAAATTGATGTGTTTTGAACATTATATTGTTTATCTGCTGATTTTTCAGTCTATGTGCAGTAGAATCACGTTGATCATGGGTATTGGTCCATAGATTAAGAAACTGGGGAAAACTGAGATAATATTGTCATAATCTATGGACCAATACCCATGAACAGCGTGATGGATTATATTGTTTGTCCTAAAATACATAAATGTGTATTTCCGCCTTTCTACAAAAAGAAGCAAAATGGAAAAGGAAATGAAAAAGAGAGAATATGCGGAGGGAATAAAAAAGGGAAATATAAATTTAATAAAGACAAAAAATTATTTAAATAAAATTATTTTAAAAAGCTTTATTATTATTTTAAATCGTTCATTCAACAGGGAGTGCTCAAGGTTGCACGCAAATTATCAGCGCATCCAATACGTTGGTTTGGTGTTTATGCCATTTGCGCTCACATTTGTTTGGGTATTACTCCTCTTCACTCTCGCATTCTGTAGGGGAGCGCATCTCCTTGCGACCTCCTTCATAATCCAGACTCGGCCGCCCCTCGGCCCCAGACGTCGCGCGGTTCCCGGACAGGGCGCTCCGGCGACACCGCGTCTCTTCCGCGACTCGGGAGGTGTAATTCAAGTTTATCACCGGGTTTAATCAGCGCCGCGGCCGCCAGGGGCGCTCATTTGCATGGCGGCCGCGGGCGATAGGAAATTCCATGGACGCGCCCTCGCCCCCCCCCCCCCACCTTCATCAATATTCCGCGCTAGGACGCCTCTCGTCGCGACGCGAGGGCCGGGCGGGAACGCGGGCGGTGCGGAGGCGGAGGAGGAGGGGTGTGGGCGAGGGCGGGGCGCGGCGGAGAGCTGCAACTGTGTGTTTGTCTTTCGCGGAAGACGGATCGTTATGCAAGCTGAGGATTCCGGCGCAAATGAAATCAGGGCGCCCAGGATTTATAGTGGTGGCGCTGCCGGAGACTAACTGGCGGAGTGGGCTGTGAGAGATTTTTTTTCGAATTTCTATCGTGTTTTTTCCTGAATGAAAATTAAAAAAACACTGCGAGGATGTAATACTATAGAAATTGTCAATACATTAGTCACTATGTAATAATCTCGATACGAGTACTAAGCAGCAGTATCATTGGACGGATATTCCGATTAATTTTTTTTTTTTTTGTAATTTTTACAACTTTGGCAGTATAGAAACAAATTGTTTGCACGTAAAATAGAGGGAAAATTATAACATATTCAGAAAACACTAGTAAAATGACATATAATTTCTGACTCCTGCATTCAGAAGAGGCACTGTAGAAGTATAATTGTCAATCGCTGAACTATTGAAGTTTTTTCCAATTTTTTTCCACAGTAAATCATTGCTATGAATATTATTTTATTAAAGATTGAATTGCCGAAAGTGATATCTTGGACAATAATGTTCGATTAATACACCATGCAAATGTTTGAGAATGAAATTATAAATTAATTTTTGGCTCGTAATTTCAAAGGAAATATTATTTGATTAGAAAAAAATGATTTCAATATGCAATGAAGTAACCGTGAAGACTAGAGAATAGATTACGTTTTGATAGTGCGTTTAAACAAAACGTGAACATAGCTATTGTCCTTAAACCAACGAAATTATAAACATATCAATACGCCCTTAATAATATATGCTCAAAATGGTACCGTAATTTGTGTCCAGATTGTACTGAGACAAGACAGCCCCAGGTACACTGTATCTGATACAGAAAAACATCATAACGCAATTAATCAATGTCTAATATGGTGAACACTCCGGAAAATGCCTGTAGCCTAATATCTGAAGTTAATGATATTATAATAGTTGTTACACAAACATTGCTTATTAGATTGATATATTTATTAAGTATTTCATTATATAAAAGGAAATTGTTAATAAATTGAAATAAAATTAAGCGCGAGTATTTGCACATATATTTCTTTAATAAGTGGAAATACAATAAGATAATATATACAATTACAAGTATATTTTAATACAAATCTAAGTGGAAATTTGCACAATTACCACTTAAGTTTGAAATTAATGAATATTAACACACTCGTTAACAGCGTTTTTGAGTAGGAATTTACTGGATACTCGAATAAAACACCATCACATCAGAATTTCAGTTTTCGTAATTCAAAACCTTTTGATGGTTTTTATAGAATTATCTAATGAAAATACAGATACACCTATATACGATATTTTTCCTAGGCTTCAAATTTCTTCTGCTATTACACAAGTGGAGATTTTGTCATTAGAAATATATTAAATCGAAAATGCGACCTTCTTTTAACCATTATGAGATGTTATTGTCAGAAATCAGAAGTGTATCAAGACCACCGCCGGCCGTTGGTTATTCATAAAATGTGAAGACTGCCGGGACGATAATCGGCAGCATCTCACATATTACAAGGTAGGATTGCGAAGTAGTAGGGAAATTGTCTGACAGGACACGGATGTTAACTGTGCATTCCTGACGCAAACATGTGCATTCGCTAGTGTGTTACTAAGTTCGATCTTCGGACTGTCTTGAATGAGGTAAATGTGACAGATTGTCGTTTACTTCTGCGGTACTGATATTATGAGTTGTTAGTTCGACGTCCACTGCTCCAGAGTCCAGCTAGAGATTTGAGAGCATAGGGTAAAAGTTGCATCAGAACGAAAACAGCGTCGCCAACAGGAAAGTAAAGCTAGGTGAAATATCGACATCTCACACAAATTTTAACACCCGTTCGGTAATGCCAAGGAGGACGGCAACCGGGACGGAAAGAATGTCAACATTCATCTAAGCATTAATTTCGCGAAGAATGTCGAGAAATGAAAATACATCTACTAGAGGAGAAATATTAGAGCCGATCAAGGAACGGAACTGAAAGCATAGTGTAGTGGCGTTGAAAAGAACAGAAATATATTCCAAAAGTATTAATGTGGCACAGAGTTGTAATAATTCAAAAGCTACTCAATATCTGAAGCAAAAATATGTATGACAAATAGATGATAATAAACGAGGCTAAGTAGTTAAAACTAAATGAATAGGGAAAAATAAATAGGTCTGGCGTCACGCAAGCACACAAAAACGAACACCAGAAACGCAACGAGACGGTACACCGAGATACAAGTAAACAGACGAATTGAAAAGAGTCCAGAGGAGCGAAGCAAGGAGAGGACTGTTTTCTGCAACTGCTCTCTGAAGTTCTGTGTTATGCCTTTATTCTACAGCTCCACAGTGCGATTCCTTCTCGTTGACGTTTATTGATAGTTGGATGCACTTTCAGTTCTGGTTCGTATACATGTCTTCGCGTTGCCTTTCTCACTCTAAAGCACTTCTTAAGCGCTCGTAAATGTGATATACCAAACGTGGAAGTGTCAGAGACGGACCAGAGCAAAGTTTCCTTCCTTTATCCTTATTTAAGTAAGAACTTGCTGTTTAATGGTTTAGGGCTTCATCTATTAGAACCTTTCTCAACCTTAAGTGATAATTTCGCATTTTGATATTTATCGTTGTTTACAGAACTATTCGAAACAGTTCCAATGAGTAATTGCATCGTGGAAACTAGCGATGTGATACATCCAAACCTGCCCACTTAAAGTTTTGAAATTATACTTAAGGATATGTCGCTGTAGAGAATAGTTGCGCGTTTGAAGCAACACTATGAATATTGAACACGTCCGTCTAGATTAAGTCCTACCAGATAAGAGCCCAAATACAGAAATGGTTTAAAATGTATATGCCATTGCCGCACCTCAGAAACCGAAAGTATTTTAACCCTGGCTTGTAGAAAACTTTCGTAACCCTTCGCTGAATGTGTGTTTAATTTGTTCATAAATATATATAAAATGTCCTTCAATTGCAATTTGTTCTGGGGTCACCTTTGATATTCCGCATTGATCATCTCCAAACGTCAACGTAGCTTTGGTAGGTATGTGAGTATTACCAGCGACTCTGGTCCCCATTCGCCTCTCCCCTCACGATTGGCAAGTGAGTGTTAAGTTTGTGTCTGGTATTCCGCCTCCCCCCCCCCCGCCACGTCTCATGTCGCCAACCCCACTCACGAGTGTCAAGCGAGCGTTAAGTGCTGGCGTGGTCTCCAGCTCTCCCGACGATTGGCAGGCGAGGGTTAAGTGGCGGCGTGGTCTCCGGCCGCGGTCGCCGCCCGCAGCATCTCCAGGACGGCGTCTGCCGTGGCGAGGTCGAGCGGCGTCTTGCCCGCCCACTGCCCGCCCCAGCAGCGCAGGTCCGCGTCGGCGCCGGCCGCCAGCAGCGCGCGGACCAGCTCCTCCTCGTTGCTCCACGCCGCCCAGTGGAGTGGCGCCCGCCCCTCCAGGTCCCTATCATCCACTCCCGCCCCCGCCTCCAGCAGCAGGCGCACGCACGCGGGGCTGTGGTTCTTGATGGCGACGCTGTGCAGCGCCGTCATCCCGTACACGTTGACCGCGTTCACGTCGGCCCCGTGCTCCAGAAGCAACGCGACGACGGCCGGGGTGGCCTTCTTGGTGGAGACCGCCAGCGTGACGATGGGAGTCCCGTGGAGGTGGCAGTTGTCGAGGTCGACGCCTTGCGCCAAGAGGCGGCGGACGTCGTGCAGACGCCCTCTGGTGACCGCGTCGCGCAAGTCGATCTCCGTCGACGAAGGGACGACCTCGCCGCATCGCCTCTTGAACGCTTCCACCTTGCGCTCCACCCGGCGTCTGGCGCAATGCGCGTCGTCTGCGGAAGCCTCCCTCTCTGCCTCCTGCTCGGACTGCGCATGCGTAACCTCCCGCACAGCGTCGTCCTGTACACCGGCGTCCTCGCGACCGTTCCCTTCGCGCGCCTCCATTTTGGCTTCACTTATCTGCAAGCAAAAATCTTTATTTTTTTTTCAAATAATAGACCTTGACACAGCTTATTCGTTTAGTTGTATGTTAGACTTTCAACCTCATGCTTTTGTCAACACCACCTAATTTGCAACTTTATGACGAAAAATATTTACTTTAACCTCTACACTCTGAACAAAATAATAATAATAATAATAATAATAATAATAATAATAATAAAAATATCGTCATTATTTGTGGCGAGACTCAGACCTTAAGACTTACTCTTCCACCTAAGCACTATAATGAATTTACAATTTCAAAAATTACACTTGAGCTGTTCCGACGAAAGAACTATAAACTGACATTTCGTATGACAGAGAAAAAAACTCAATTTTAGACTATCATCTACATGAAATCATCTGTGAGAGCTAAGTGTATTTATGATTATTTTTTGTTTATTCTTGAAACTTTGCAAAATAGAAAGGCATGATGCAAGGTACATTCTTAAAAACGGAATAAAAAGTTCAACTACTTACCTCACTTATCAATAATTCTAATTTCGACCAAAATGTCAGTTTTCATTATTTATTTCCGAAAGGTCTCAACTGTAAAGGAAATATCTTCATCTCGCACGTTTCTTCGTGCAATACGAGGAAGCGGCAACCACTTTCGATAGATCGACTGTAACCCGCACATCAAATAGAAGTAATGTACAAATAAGCTTTCGTAGATAAGCGTTCATTCCATTAATTTAAAAAAAGTTTTTAGTGCTTACAAGCCGGTTAATAAGAGCAAATGAGAAGAAATCTAGGTCTTCATTCAATGAAACCTAGTGGTGCTGTCACAGCACCTACTTTCTCGCATTATTGGAAATAGTTACGTAATATTAAAATACTGTAAATTCTGACATACTAAAAACTCAGTTATACTTTTAAAACGTCACATTCAAACAATTGAAACGAAGCTCCTGTGGTGCATGCCTGCGTTTGTTTCCATAGTCAGGAACAGTAGACATTTTTTAACTTTTACATATGAAACAAACGTGAATAAATATAAGGGTTATGGTATTTCCAATACACAATACAAAAAGCAAAAATAATTCCACATACGTCTAATTTGATTACATTGAAGTGATCTTTCAATTGTTAATACCATAAACAGCGATCAAAATTTCTTAAAAAAAGAAGTGTGTTTGTTAGTTCTAAGTTCAATTTAATACTTTCCTTCATTCTATTTTCTTTCACAAGAATATTATCTGCACCATACAATGTAGACAGAGAACAATGAGATGCATTCGAAGAATTTTATTATTTAAGTAGGTAAGTTTGTTCGTTCTTTATTTATAATATTATATAGTGAAATGACACCTTGCTTATTTATAGTAGTCAATAACTATTAAGTTAATATAAAATACCCATTGATATTTCTTTTCTTTTCTTTTCTTTTCTTTTCTTTAATGGTTCGGCTACTTAGCGGACGCGTCTGCTAGCTCCTAAAGAGCGTTGAGAGGCACCTGGATCCTCCTTTATGTATTCATGCCAGCACCCGTCTAGGGGCCTCTGCGGGGAGTCAAGATCAATCCAGCCTTCAGTGGCAGTCAGTATCAGGAATCGCCGACAGCGAGTTAAAGCAAAGCCACTCGCGAACGCATAGCACGCGACCCAAATTGTCTATTTACTTATTCGCGCCACATTTTTTTTAATATCCTTTAAGCATCTCCATTATCTCCCTTATTATTCCGCTCTTACATTAATAACAAAAGAGAATAATAATTACAAGAGTTAATGGAAACTCTAACCCAGCTTAAATAAAGAACATTGCATACTACAAATGCGTAAATCTCTGTTTCTATTCATTACAATTTAGAACATTGGGTACGAAAAATAATTATTTTAAACAAGACCAGTTGGTAAGGATATCGACTAACTTGAAAGGAAATTCAGGTCAGACTAGAAAAACCAAAAGATTTCTGCCGAAGTGATCACACTCACTAAATTCGAACAAGCAAACACAAATTAAGATCTTGGAAAGTTTTCATTTTGTAACAGAGGCATTAGAGATTGGAAGAGTTTATCCTCAGAAACTTTGAAATCCGTTCTTCTAAGTGTCCAAAGTTTTAGGAATAAGCTAGAACCAGCCTAGAGTAATAGATGTTAAATGAGTAACTGTTATCTTAAGAGCGCTGAAGTGCTGTGAAGTTCTAGTCAGTTTAATTCAAGTGTAATGATTGTAGTGCAGTGAAGTGTAATGATCGCGATCAATGCCTTTTTAAAAAAAAATTATTTTAGCCATTATATATGTAGATTGTATTGATTTTTATTATCACAGACATATAATTGTTGTATATCATGAGAGAGTTGAAATAATTGTTATATAATTCTTAATATTGTTGTTGTATTATTGTTAGTATTATTACTAGTTACTTATTATTATTGTTGAATTCTCATTTTGTAACGTACTTTATTATTGTTATTATTAATATTATTATTATTGTTATTATCATTATTATTAATAATAATAATTAACTGCCACCCGGTCATATCACTTGAAGTTCAAATAAATGTATGTATAAATATCTACACATACGTAAAATTGTTGTGAAAGAAAATAGATTGAAGGACAGTATTAAATTGAACTTAGAACTAACACATTTCTTTATGTATGTATGTATGTATGTATGTATGTATAAATATTCACACGTAGGTCATCCAATAGAAAAGTTTCCCTACTTTTTCCCTGAAAACCACGTGCTTCAAACTCAAGATGGTGCTTTAGGAACATTCACTGGCAACGCTTAGCCTTTTGCAGCAGGCGACTCCTTCACGTTCGGCACTTCTGCACCATTTGCCATTAAGCTACCACTTGGCAGCGGGCTCGCTGGTGAACTCTGGTCTGTTATTCGCTTTTTCAGAGTGAAATATGAAACGGCTTACAATATTCACCGCCCGGTATTGTGTGTTTATGGCGAAGGATTCACGAGCGTCCAAATGGTTCGCCGGTGGCGCTCATGGTTCCTGGAAGGATGGCAAAATATGCATGTCGACAAGCGGAGCGGCAGGCCAGTTACCGCCACAGACAACGCCGCCAATGTTGCAGTTCGGAATGTGGGGGATGAAGATCAACGCGCCAGCATTGATGACATAATGATTTGACTGCCTCCTACGAAGGAAATTGGACGCTACTCTATTGGAATGATCCTATCACATGTCTTGCATTTTCGAAAAGTCTGTGCCAGATAGGTGCCACGTTTGCTTACTAATGTTCACATGCAAACGTCGTAGTCTTCTGAATCGGAAAGTGTTGCTCTTTCAAGACAACACACGCCACACTATGCAGCTCGTACGACCCATGTCTTTCTGCAAAAATTCCATCTCTTTCCTCAACTCAAGTTGCAACTTGGAGGCAATCGGTTTACGACTGATGAGGAAAATAAAAAGACTGGCTATGGCGACAGAAGGTGATGTAACAAAGGTATCAAAAATTTGATGCTAAGGTACGAAAAGTGTTTGAACAAAATTGGTGACTATGTGGAGAAGTAGTGAAGGAGTTCTAAAATGAAAATAAAATAGTTTCCCAAGTGTGAATAACTCGCACGTACTTTTTATAAAATAGGGAAACCTATATATTGGAAAACTCTCGTACATACATCTGCATCATACAATCATCACCGATAGCAATTGGATTAATTCGAAGAACTTTGAAACTACTGTTGCCGTGCCATTCCAGCAACTTACCAAAGCGAAATGATCCATTCTTTTTCTCATTTAACTCAATTAAATTACCCAATTTAAATATATTTAATGCTTAAATTATAATAAACGTTAACATATTTTCCAAGATTTGAATATCCGCCTCCAAAACCCATTTCAAATTACATTGCCATTGGAGTGACACCTCAAACAAAGCGCGGGAAATTGGAAATTTACCATTTCGAATTTTTTTCCAACTTTTGGAAATAAAGTGTCCATTGAAAATGGGAACAGTGCCACTTTCTTTATCGTTCTTTGTTACATACGTGGATTTTAATTTAACTATTGAGCCGTTTCTGTGATAATATCTGTTTAAAATTTCAAAAGTGGCTGATTCTGACGCTAAATTACGCAACAAATACTCATATTTTCAAAAAAGTAACATTACCTTATTTGAAGATTTGTTTCTAATGAACTCATTTCATTAAGAAAAATTGTATTATTGTAATTGTAGTTGTAGTAAGACTCCGAAAACAATTTTAATTTTTGCAATTTTCGAAAAAACAGGGATTTCAACTGAAACCAGATCTTCACCATTCTGTTAAGTGTCCATTATGCTAATCAGCAATAAAATTTAATTTAAAAAATTCGTGCCATTTTTAAAAAAATTTAAAATGTTCGAGGGGCTTTATGTAAAGTAATGTGCAAAATTAAAATATTAAAATATCAGCAGCAAATTCAAAGGGCGAGACAAAAGATTAACTGAGGAGATCAATTTTGGAGAAAATTAGCTTAACGATTTAGACGCTAGAATTGTCCACAGACGGGCAAACGTTTTGCCGGCAATCGAGTTTTCGGTATCCGGGATCCACAAAACATCTCGAAAAATCACTATTCTTTTCCCGTTGCGTTACATAACTTTCTCTATAAGCGTATATATCTCTACTGCGTAATCAGTAGCAAGAAAGTAAACTAGTGGTTCTAAAAAATGACATGCTTCTTCGCGTTATTGGAAACTGATACGTAATATTAAAATATTGCATTTTCTGCACAACTAACGTCTCACCCATAATTTTAAAACGTCTAATTCAATCAAGAAGTGAGCAACGCACTGTTGCCAGCGCGTAGTTATCAAAACTATGTGCATTAGCTTGGCTAATAGTATCAATACAGTAATTAGAATATATGTAATTGATATAAAAATAATTACCAACATTCATGAGATGCCGTTCGTCGTATGATAACAGTTCCGATAGCGTTTTAATTTTTAAAGTTGACTTCTAATATCCATACTTCAGATATGATAAAGACTATTGCTTTTCATCAAAGAGAGCGTCCATGGTATCTCGGAAAAAAGGTGATATAAACAAAAACAAATCCTACTCAGGAGCTTCATAATCGATGCGGCATTGTTGCGAAATTTCTATTAAGCTTTGCGGATTGCTAAAAAGACATACATCAATACATTGAAAATACACAATAGGTAAAAAGTAAAAAAGCGAGAAAGAAATAATGGAATCAATATTGGCATTTTCAATAATAAGTTATAATTAAAATTAAATTAATTATTTTTCTTATCATTCATTCAATTTTTATCGTGGCCCGCAGTTGGTGTGAAACCTTTATATATTTTATTTACTTCAATCGTAAATTACGCATAAACTTCTGGTTTTTGCAATAAATTCTACATGACTTTCTTTATTGAAGTAATTTTGTACAACAGAGGCAAATATCTCTATGTTGAATTTTGTGGTTTTAAAATAATTTATTTGAAGTTTAAAATAAAACTTACTATACACGAAAAAGATACTAGCATCATATATTTTATCGTCGCTTATTACACAAGTGAAGAAAAGTTTAAGAACATTGGAGCGGTTTTTGAGAATTTTGGCTGGCGGAGTTCCCTGGAGGGCAAAACCCCAGAATGGGAGGTGTTTGTCAGCGCAGGATCTCACTCACCTGCAGATGAGGAATAACACCGCCCGAGGTATACTAACACGCACTGCACTTGCGGTACTTATGATAATAGCTGCTGACGAACCCGGAAACATAAAAAATCAATCTATGCCATATTATTACCAAGCGCTTCCATGCTAGGACAGGCTGTGTCGTGTAGAGCTCGGTTTAAGCGCGAACGAAGTGTGATAAGATGAGTGCAACCGGGGGAGATGGCGCAGGGCATCAACTGATGTCACTGCAGCCCCTCCGACCGGGAGGTCCTAGGTTGGAGTCCCGACGGTGAGGGTTTTCGACACTAGATTGATAGCTAGGTAGAATTCAGCCGCGAGGAAAATTCTAGCGGCCGTCTGCTCTGATTGGTAGTTTTCCGTAGTTTTTCCGATCAACCCCAGGCAATTGCCGGAGCAGTACCGTAACAAACGGCACGCGACGTGCCTTTCCTCTTCCTTGTCCTATTGCCACCCATTGCTTACATACACTTCCACTTACATGCACCACACTACCACCCATGCCGGCCAGGAACTTAGAGCTCTTCGAGCTAGGTTGAGCCTTGCGTGCCGCGCTGCGCCGGGATGTGATAACTGGTTGGCGGGGGGGGAACCCTGCTAGCCGAAAGTTATCGCCAGGGAAAAACATGCACTACATTTACGGGACTAATGACCGTTGTAATTGACTCGTTCTGAATCACCAATCAACTATGAGCAGTGCGGGCTGCCGGGGAAAGCAGGAGGAGCGAACGAAGCGGGAGAGGTGGAAAAAGCGGGCCGAGGGCGCGGGATTGGCGAGAAAGATTCAACAACGACCAATACATAAATGTAAAATGGAAAACGAATGATGCGATTGAATCAACAAAAGAAAACGTTGACAGATCCTAAAACCAAGTAAATTCATAGCAGGTAATAATAAACACAAAGTAAATCTTAAAAATAAAGCTGTTCTTTACCTGCTGGAGGAGCAGCGAATGTCGACTTGACTCCTTCTGGCTGGCAGTAGATCAGCTGATAATCTGCGATGTCTGAGACAACGAAACATGTGATTGATATCATCCGCCAGTCGACGCCCGATTACGAGAGCAAACGCAGGCTGCCCTTCATTGGCTAAGTATCATAGGATGGTGGAGGAGGGGGGGGGAGTGATTGCTCGGTAAGATACGCATGCGACCCATGGACTTGCGATAAGACCTAGCGAAAGGCGAAGACCACTAATCTGTATGACAATATCTGCTCAGCTCGTCGCTTGAGTAAAGTGAATTGCAGTTGGATACAAAAGTCAACTCTGTCAATTGTTTCAGCTTTCGGTTTGCTCAAACTTGGCGCATATATTCTGCAAAGGAAACGTTTTCGATCTTTGAACAGATTCTTTGATTCTTCGTGTTGGCATTCTTATATTTATATTAGTAGTTTTTAGAAATAGTGAACAATTGAAAATAAATGATGCGCTTAATTGTTTTAGCTGTACAATTGTTTGTTGTTGTTTTTTGGCAAAGTTTATTTTCCAAATGAATGTATTACCTGTCTAGTACCGACAGTTGCGGCTTCAACTTCACTGCGCATAACGAAATTTGGTAGATTCAATTACCGAGGTTTCCTAAAATTTTTTTAGAATTTAATTTTCCTAATCAGATGTTTTCCGAATGTAACTTTTCCTATTTTCTTTTTTACGAAAGTAAAATTTCGAATATTCTTTTCCGGAACGCTAAAAATAATTAATCTTTCGAACACTTACAAGTTATAGGGTGAAGTTATATCCAGTAACTACACTTTCGACTTTCTTCTTTATACTGATATATCAAAACAATATTTTTAAATATATTTTGTACTGTTAAGCACTTTTTCGAGGCATTGCTTTCACTTTCCACCCTATCAAAAATTCTCTTAGCACAGTTTCTGTATCTCCTTGCTCCTGAAGTTCACATATCACTGTATGGGGTGTTGTTCGTCAATGACCAATACGGAAACCCTTGCTTTAATTAATTGTTCGATGTGCGTTGTTTATCGTACGCAGGTCGGTACTGATTTCACATAGCAATCTGTCGGCAAGTTCGCACATTCCCAATTAACGTTTTCTTCTCAAGCACCTTTCGTGTTATCATATATGTACCCAAGCATTAATAACTACAGCCTTCCTCTTTTAGATTTCCAAATTATAGGTTCTCTCTGCATTTTATAATGACTGTAAAATTTATAAAACGTGACCATATCTATAAAACAACCTTCTCTAGGATTCATTCATTGTCGGAAAGGGCCCAGTTCGAAAAAATTAATGTCTGGAATTTTGCATTCGGAATAAAAATCGAAAAATTGAATGATAATGATAACTGACAAACATTTGACTGATTGAAATTGTGACTGTGATGTGGAAGATACTGTAAAACCATCATATACCTTACAATATCATATTTATATTACCGTTGATAGTTTAATAATTGCTGAAAAACGTAAAACTGGAAGATCGAACGCTCAATAAATTCAATCAATTCACTTATAAAATCAATAAATTAACTTATTTGTGTGGAGAACAATAAGATAATACAACAATTTATATTGTCAAAATGGAGTATAAAATTGAGGCATCAGTAATATAAGTTTCAATAATTATGTCAATAACAGTATCAATATATAAACGTAAATAAAAAATGAAGTCATTATAGGGAGAAAATTCTGATCATATACTTCATTTGTTCATCTTCGATCCTGTCAAAGTTCTTGCAGCTTAAATAACACTCTAAGCTCTAGCAATACGATGGTATAAATGCTCCCGTACATTACCAAGAGGATAACTTACCACTAAAACTTTGATTTTGTTTTTTTACCTATTGTTTGATTTTTTGTAACTTAATTAACTAATACAACTAACCTTCCACTCATTTAAACTAAAAATATTAAATATCGGGATATATAATTGAAAAAATGGACTCTTCCTGGCATCCATTGAAGGTGAAAATAATTTTACTGAAATTGAAGCTCAATTGCAAGATCGTGTATCGTGTGTCACTAACTGCTCAAAGTTTTCCAAAAACAGAGCTTTGTGATTTTTGTTTAATGTAGAAGTAAAATAAGGAGACGACGACGACGACGACGACGATGATGATGATGATGATGCTCATGATTATCTTCAGTGCATGCAGGTAGCGACTTTCAAACATATTTTATATAATCAGTTTGCAACGTGCTTGTCAGTTGGCTTGTCTGTAAGCGAACGCCAGTTTTTCAAACTTTTCATGAGTTTTTGAACATGATTTCTAAAATAAAATTCAATTCAATCAATCATGCTGTGTATTGTGAATGCATAAGAGTAAATTCTTCATTTTTCTGGACTCTTTTCTTCCTACCCCGTAGAGAAGAACTTATTTGAATAACGTTTTAAATTTCTTCCTTTTCTTTATCAGCTTATCCAGAGGGGTTTTACCAATCGTTATATTAGTGTTCTTATTCCTCTTTCCACAAATTGACGACTTTATAATTATGAATTATCGCCTCACTCTCCGCTTTTGTAATATATTTTTAAAATACGTTATAATGCTAATAGGCTTGAATAGTTTATATTGAATTTAAATTGGTGATTATACGTATAAATTACAGTACCACATATAATTTTACCTTGGCGATGAATTTAGCAGTACAATATAAACAAAAGTTTTTTATTTCATGGAGCCAATTCATCATCACCTGTTTTGATAAACTGAATGATTAAAGAAAGCAGTTTCCAATAAACTCACATCAGAGATTTAGTAATATTGCTAACAACTTCAATATTCTCTTTTACAGGACGTTTTAGCTTTATATGAAAATTATGGCACACACGTCGTTTAGAACACACTTATTGATTATTATAAATCATTGAAAATTGATTATTAATAAATTCTTTCAGCATCGCACGGATAAATTCAAGCAAAATTTCAAAGAAGAATGGCGAATGTTAGTATTGAATGGTACAATGGTAAACATAAAACGTAAATGGCGTACTTTTAAAAAAAATTAAGGTCTAGGACATTAGCGTTCACTATTGCATTAACGCTATGGTAACAGTGAAGATGATGTTATATGAAGATAGGGGGTGAAAGAATGAACACAAATATAACCACGCCCGAGGCGGGACTCGAACACGCGACCCTTCGACCCACTCACGTCTTTCTATTGAAAACCTATCACTAATTTTGCGGTTTTTGATAAGATTTTGATTTTGAATTAATCGAAAAATAAATTACTTTTCCAAAAGTTAGGAAAACTAGAAAAGCTCGCTAACAGTGCAAAATATATAGAAAGCTCCTACATCAAGAACCAAGATTTTAAATACTGTATGTCATGATTAAGATCATTTGAATCATATGTGTCGATAAATGTATTGAATTACACCATAACGTGATCGTATAATAAAGATCTGCGAGAAGTTACAAAAATATGTGTCGTATTTGGAATTTCAAAGTTGTAAAAATAAGTCTGGTACTTGTGTTATGTGGTTCATTGCATTGTGGCTATACAATACCTTTAATGAAAGAACAGACAGTCGCCTTTGAGATAACGACTTTTCGTATTTCAAAAAATTATTTTATTCAAAATTATAACAAAACGGCTAATATTCTGAAAATATGATCACATTGTTGTTAATAATATCTTCAATAAAACATTGAACAATCGATTGTGTTAAGAACACAATTTTAAGCTTCAATACAGATGGTGTGTATTCAAAAGAACGTTGAACTTTCAAAAATCCACCATTTTCAAAAATTTAGATCTTTTAAGGAAATTTGGCCTCATCGTAATGTAAATTTTCTCTATTCGAACAGCAAATTTTAGGTTAAAAGTTTGGCCGGGTTTGGATTTTTTATATTTATAAAGGGTCTAGTAGACTTTGTATAAACTACCCGCATAAATTAAAAGAATCATTTCAAATTCGCAGGGCTGGGAACAATAGGAACAAAAAAAGACTATTGTGAAAAAAATCTGATTTAGAATAAGCATTAGTGTTGTTCACAGACCGGTATGAAGACGAACAGGCATGTTTTCATATACACCTTTGATTTTCATGGACCCAGAAAACTCTTTCCTTCAACATCTTGACTTTTTTTTTTAATTTGCCGAAATACATAATCATTGATCTTCACTAGATGTAAACTCATTCACTACAAATTAATATAGGTATACACAGAGCTAGATATAATAACAAAGGAACAAAATCAATCAATAAAAGCTTACTGTGTTTTCAGACTTGGTTTCCTAACATTTCGAACTTATAAGAAGAGGTAGAATAATTAATACAGGAAAAGTATGATAAATGAAATCAAAATATTAGCTACAGCGTGAATATTCTGAATAGCGTTTTCCAACGTGATGGATAGCATAATAATAATGTATTTCCAAATTTTAATTTATCATTCATCTTAAAAAGAATCTTTCATCCTCGAAACGTTTTCAAAATTTAGCACTTAGAAAGCAATTTATATAAGACTTCAATAAATTTCCGAGGCGGAAGTTTCTTTCCGTTGCCCTCAAGAAGTGAGCTCCTAAAAGGGGGCCAAGGGGTGAATTGAATGTTTCCAGCTGACGGCGCCGCCGACGGCGGAGTTCGGCCGCTCGGCCCACGCAGCGGCGCGGCGCCGCGCCGCCAGCTCTGCCGAGGGCGGTGAATGCGGCCGCGAGGGCGCGCGCGTCGATTTTAAGCGGCGCCGTTGCTAATTAATTGGCAACAGCGCGCGGCTCTCCGCGCACAAAGCAGCCACCGAGCCCTTTCCATGGCGGCCGAGGAAAGCGCTTCGCCTTGCGGCGTTACCCGCAGAGGAACCTTCACGGAGTTACCACCATGAACTTTGTGGAATTAGAAAACAATCATCCCGGAATTTTGTACGAAAGGAATTCTCACTAATGTTCAGTTTGCTATAATATAAGTAGAGCTAGTAAGTTCTGTCATTTATTTTACCTAAAACATGCTGGCAAAAGGGCATTTATTTTTACTAAAATAGGCATTCAAAAAAGTCATTTTTCTGGCAAAAGTAGGGGTCTGAAACGCAGGGAACATCGTGAATATTATTAAAAGTAATTATTGTAAA